AGTTGCAGCACCTTTTATTTCTTAAGGGATAACAGATCCCTTAATGGTAAACTGGCACGCTCCATGCGGGGACTGACGTCTGGCAAGCAGCCACAGCTTCCTATTGGCTGCAGGAAGCTCCTGCTGCCAATAGGAAGCCGCAGACGCCGCCTCTCCCCCCCCCCCCCATGGCTCCGAAGGCCAGTGGGGAAAGAGCAGGTTTCGGAGCCATGGGGGAGGAGGAGGCGTCTGTGGCTTCCTATTGGCTGCAGGAGCTTCCTGAAACCAACAGGAAGCCGCAAACGCCGCCTCCCCACCCATGGCTCTGGAAGCCAGCACATAAAGAGCGGGGTGTGTGCGCACTCCTGCCTGCTGGCAGAAAAGTTTGTCAATCCCTGCTTGATAGGCTTGGTCTCAGGATGACTGAAGCAAGCCTGCACTCTTGCACATCGGCACTAATACTCTTTTACGTTTCCTTTCTCCTGTCTTAGGCCTCAGTATTTTAAGCTGATTGATGAATGTATTTCTCAGATAGTCCTGCACAAGAATGGTGCTGATCCAGATTTCAAGTGCAAGCACCTTGACCTTAATATTGAAGGTCTGGTAGGTGGACCAGGGGTCAGCAAACTTTTTCAGCAGGGGCGGTTCCACTGTCCCTCAGACCTCGTGGGGGCCCGGACTATATATTGGGAGTGGTGGTGGTGAACAAATGCCTATGCCACACAAATAACCCAGAGATGCATTTTAAATAAAAGGACACATTCTACTCATGTAAAAACATGCTCATTCCCAGACCGTACGCAGGCTGGATTCAGAAGGCGATTGGGCAAACTAAGGCCTGGGGGCCAGATCTGGTCCAATCACCTTCTAAATCTGCCCTGCAGACATCCGGGAATCAGTGTGTTTTTACATGAGTAGAATGTGGGGCAGATGGCATTGTACAAAGTAACACTGCATATAAGTTAAATCTTCTTAAATTAGGCAGACCAGTCCCAGACCAGACACACATCAGAATTATGGGAATGGAAGGAGGCTTCAAACCCAAACCCCAGTGCTTTGGGATAAATCACACATTCACATACATAAACATGATCTCTCATCACTTGGTAATTCACAGCTATCCGTGCAAACTGGATGCATTTGAAAGTATTGCATTTGAGTTAATGTCAGGTGATATGAAAGTCTGTATTGTAATGTTTGATCTGGGATGGTTATCTTAAACTTACAGGTCATTACTTGATGATGCATTGCAGTCATCAAATGATGAATGTGCATGCATGAAAATGTCTACACACAGGATTTAAAATATCCTTCACAGATCTCTTAAAGACCCTCTTGTGATGTATTTTTAAACTATCTCATCCTGGCAAATCCTTCTGCCAACAACGTCTGGAATTCAACTCTCTCTAGGAAAGCTAGGAAAGTTTATTAGAGGTGTCTTTGCAACAGTTATATTTGAAACATTTTCTGTTTCATGTAAGGAACGCAATCTCATTTTCTGTTTCATGTAAAGTACGCAATCTCCTTTTTCAGAGAGAGACTTTCAAGATACAGCAGCCTGTCTGTGGCAAATCACTCCTCAAATGCCTGGAGAGTGTATTTGATAACTCAAAGTCCCAACTGTCTATAGAAATGGAGAAAAATGAAAGGCAACTAACAACTAGGGAAGACCTGATGATTTGAGAAGTCTGCTAAATATCAAATTAAGTTTAGGAAGATATTCCAGCATTGTTGTGACTGAGAACTTTTGCATGTATATCCTTTGCATATATTTTAGACAGGATAAAGGAAACAAACTAATCCTGATGTAAATAGTTAAAATTTCATGTGTTGTAGTGAAACCGTTCAACTCATTGAGGTTTGAAATAACATTTTTTGGAGTGAATAGATTTGAGAAATTTTAAAATGCTGCTCCCTGTTCTAAGTTTCTAATATGAGGCACTAGAGCAAAGCTTTCTAAACTGTGGGTCATGACACTTTAGTGTGTTAGTTACAGTGTGTAGGTGTGTCGTGCAAATGCTCCCTGCACTCCTCCCGGGGCAGGAAAAGGGTTAGTTTAACTTCTGGTTTGCTAGTAAAACTGAATTACCATGTCATGAAATGATGCATGTCTATAAACTGTGTCACTAATACAAAAAGTTTGGAAAGCTCTGCACTAGAGCTTATGTACTGTGTATGCAAGCTTTCCCTCCTCTGCCTATGTGGAAGCTAGCTGTGGCTGCTCAAGGATAAGGGGAAGACACACTACAGATGTTCTATGTGCAGAGGACAGTGTCACTTCAACTGAACACCAACCAGGCAACTATTTTTCTATTTGCTACCACTTGCTTATGTGTCACATATGAGCAGTGACATAGCGTGGGGGGTGCAGGGGGGGCCGGCCGCAACATCGGGGGGGGGGGCGCGCTCACACTCGCAGCTCTCTGCCCCTACCTGGCTCACTCACTCTCTCTCTCAGCGCTGTCACAGATTTCACAAAAAATTTGCTATTCACACGGATCCTCCTCCTAGCCAATCAGGAAGTGGGATCCACTTCCTCATTGGCCGAAAGGCGAATGCATGCAATTGGCTGAGCTGCTGAGCAGGAGGCGGGAGGACTCGAGGAGACGCAGGGAACTGAGTAGAAGGTGCAGGTAAGTCTCTCTGCATTGAAAGGGGGCACGTTGGTCTCTCTGCATTGAAAGGGGGCACACTGGTCATTCTGCAATGAAAGGGGGCACGCTGGTCATTCTGCATGTTGAGCTGACCAGATGGATTGAAGTTTGGTTGGTTCAACAGTGATGAGACAGATTTCGATCCATATGTAGCTGCTTCAGCTCAACATAAGTTGATGTAAGCCAGTGGGTCTAGCAACCTTTAATTTATTTATTTATTTTGCTGAAAGAGTAAGGCAATAGGCATGAAGGTGAATAAACATTATGTTAAGAGTAAAGAAATGGTTATACAATGAAGGGGTGCTAAAACTGCAGCAACACAAGAAAGTGATTTTCTTTTTTTTCAAAGAAGATGGATGGTGAGAACAGTTGCGATGCTGGCTTGACCTTAATACAGGAAACAGGCGGGGGCCACCAGGTGGCGCGTTGGAAGATGGCCGACAATAACATCTCTCTGACCCATACGAGGTAATTAAGGGGCTGCTATGGGAAGTATGCAGTCTTCCTACCCCCCCCCCCAGGAGACGGGGGGGGGCGCTGCCTTGCCAGCGGTGTTCACAATGCACCCCCTGATCCGAGAGATCAGGGCACGAGCCCTCGGTGAAGTCAGATCTTCCTGACGCCGATTCCAATTAGCGCGTGCTGGTTAGCTTCAGCTCGGAATTATAATTGGAAACATATGATTGGATTGAAGCTGAAGCACATACATCAAGTAATGTTCGAGAGATAAGACTGCTGATTTATGGATCTCTGTGACCGGGAGTGACGGATGGACAAGTAAATCTTCTGATGAATCACCACTAGGAGACTGTATGTTTGGAATGAAGAGGGGGGTGGAGGAAAAAACTTTTTTCCCCTCTTTGCACGATGTGATATTAATAACCCTTCACCCCAGATAGAAATAAGATCGTTGCTGTCAGAGACTGCCTCCAGGTCCCAGCTCACAGAGGACCAACGCTAGCCAGTTGAACTGTTACAAAAGTCTTTATTGAAGCATAGTTTCCATTTTCAAAACCCTAGCGTGCATCTCTACGTCTAGAGCCTAGACCGACGAAGCTCCGTCTGAGTCTCCGCCCCCTGTACACCAGCTTAAGACTCTAGCCTTACTCCACCTTTTCCGTCTCTCCTTCCGCCTCTGGGTCCTACCACCCCCCGGGGTCCCTTCCTTCCTGGACGCTTCGGAAGCGGACCCCTCGGACTCTTCGCCCTCCCTTCGGCGGGCTTTAGGACCTGGCTCCCTATCCGGGCTGCTCATCGCGCCACCCTCTTGTACATTTGAACTTGGCGCGCGCGCGCTGCCTCCGACCTTCCTTTTGACCTTCTCCTCACTCTCTGATGCAGGCGTGGCTAACCCTGACTCATGTCCTTCCGCTGACGGAAAGCTGCCTGATGCCGATGCCTGGGACTCCTCCCCCCTACTGCTCTCCGGTGGAGAAGCTGGTCCCGATTTCCAACTGCTGCTCTCTGAGTCCCCTCTGGCCCCTCCTTCCTGGGGTGTTCCCTCTGGCAACCCCCTAGCTCTGACCACGGGAGCCCCTTTGCGCTTTTATTAATCACAAGCAGGAATTTAAGAAACTGTGTGGGATGGATTATAACAGGAGAGAGGATTGGAGAACGGTGAGAATGAGGAAATTTTTATGACGCTGTTAAAAAATGGCGTCTCGCCAAGACAGGCTTGCCGGAGAAAGAAGGACAGGGGGAGGAGAATCAGGATCGTTCGAAAGAGGAGGAATGTTGGAACGCAAGCTTGACCTGACAGAGCCTCCTGACTCATTTGATTTATTTGGTAAACCTGAGAAAAGTAAAGGACAGACCGAAGATTTTTTTTTTTTTAATGGAAGCGTTGAACAGAGGCTGTCCCTGACCGATATGATCTTTGAAGAGTACAAAACCCACACAGAGGATGCCTGCTAATCTGCTTGTGAAAATTATCAGAGATCGCAAAGAAAGGAATATACGATAACAACAAGATGAGAAAGAAAGTAATAAAGGACTATCTGGATTGAACTGGATAGAACTGTCTAATTAAAGCAGTAATATAAGTGATGTTTGGTGTCGTTCGGAGCTTGATGTATGGGTACCCCCAACAAAATTTAAAATTTGGCTGTATAATTTGGAACTAATGTGATTTGGATAATGTGATGTGATTGGCCTGTTAATAAAAATTATTTTTTTAAAAACAAACTACAGGAAACAGGCAGAGAACAACTGGAAGCAATTGATCAGCTTCAGGCAGAAATTAAAAAACGTACTACGCAGATGAATACGCTTCACCAGCGATTTGCTTTTTTGCAAATCCAAACATTGTTGGATACTGGAAAAGATGATTTTATTAAGATCATCACACGTGTGCTCAGTACACAGAATTGAATGCTGCATCTATGCTCACCGAAATAACTCGACTTCAGCACCACATTATCTTGTATAAGGAGGTCAATCCTGATGAGCAGGTTGCAAACTGTTCAGCTTTAGATTTGCTTCGCTGGGTGTATAAGTGGAAGCTGCAAGAAAGTTTAACTAACTTTGTTGTCACATTAAGAATCTTTCTTACTATCACTGTTTCTACAGCGAGTTGTGAAAGAAGTTTCTCAAAACTTAAACTAATTAAAACATATCAGAGATCTACAATGAGCCAAGAAAGACTGAGTAATCTAGCAATACTGTCCATTGAGAGAGACTTTAATGTAGATTTCAATTCCGTTGATCTCAACTCAACATGAGGGTTCCTGTGTGGGAGGTGGTGATCTTCATCTACATTTGGATGCAGAGCACCCATTCTGAAACAAGGTGTTTGACTGAAATATGACTTTGCTCAATTTTTGGTGTGATGGGTCCTAACTGTGGTGTGGGTGCCCCTTATGTAGATATAATCCCCTTAATAACCCCAGTTTTTATCCTGTCTCTTGTGGTGCAGTCCATCTCATGACCAAGCCTAATAAACCCCTTTACAATGAGGTTTTGAAGCCTTCCGAGGGAACCGGCGGCAGCAAAGAACTTAAAGAAACAATACACAGCTACTTCAGACAAGTGAAGCTGAGGGACCCAGGTCCCTGACACTGTGGTAGAGGCAGGATTTCTCCATTAAGATTTTACATTCTTATAAAAGACCCTTTTGGGTTAATGTCCTTTCAGCCACAATAACAAAAAGCAATTTTTTTCATGGCAATTTAAAGTTATGTTGTTTTATGCATACCTCTAAAACCTGTGTGTATTTTCTGAAGTGTAATAAATGGATAACCTTTTTAAAAAATAAAACCACTAGCTATGGTACTCTTTCTCAGTTATCTATATTGAATTTATCTCATTGTAATACATTTTAATTTATTGCTTTGCTTCCTACTCATCTGTAATTTTTTTCAACTGGTTCTCCACTTCTTGCACAAATGCTGGGAAGCTCTGATCCAAGAGACACAATCGAATGAAACTGCCTAGATCTTCAGCGTTCCACTGGGAGTGTTGATATGCAAGAGGAAGCTCTATGTTTGATGTCAACACATACTGCAGAAGCAAGAAGATATGGTCAACTGCTTACAAATAAAATAACAATGCTTTCTACCAATTTTGCTCTGTCTAATTAAGGCTTTCTCTTGATGAAATCCAAAGGCATTGGAACAACTTATGTACTCTTTCAGAATTATCCTTTCCCTATTTACTCAGAATGGCCGTTTACCACCCTCCCGGTGAGCACTAGTTGTGGCTCCTCCTCTTTCGCCTGAATGTGACACAACATCTTAGTTGGTCTTCCCCCTTGGCCCTTCTTGTGCTTAAGGGCTGCAATACATAGCCTGCTGCAGCTAATTCTTATATAGATTATAGACATGTATATACAGTGTGCATAAAGGGTTTGCATCACTTAAACATTAAGGCACTTGCTGCAGTTATAGAGATGTTGGGCTGCCTTAATATGCAGGGAACATTAAATCAGATAGGTCAGTGGTTGGAGCTTGAGACTCTTAATCTCAGGGTCATGGGTATATATCTATATCTTTATCTATATCTGTATCACTGTGTTCCGCAGTGTTTACTTCCAAATAAGCATGCACAGGGTTGAAGATTTTGTCTTCTAAATATACCATTAAAAATAATAAACTGCTTAAAATGCAGAAAACAAGAGCAGAGAAACTCTGCATTATGGTCTTATTATATTGTTTGCTTGTTTGTAATTGTATTTTTTATATTGTCTTCTTCTTGGGTGTGTTTTTTTGAGGGGGTTTAGTTGGTCTAGCCCTTTTGTCTCTAGGGGAATTAATAAGAACATGTAGCTCTCTTTTTTGCCTTTTACTAGGGTGTCTGGTTCCTCTGAGCTGGCAGTTTTGTCTCCCCCCCTCCCACTGCTCCATTTACAGAGAGCACCAGGTTAACTTAACATAAGGTAGGGCAGGGCAATGGCCATCCATAGCCAATCATAATAAAATCTGTGAGCATGTCTAATGTTGTCTTTCTCTTTTCAGTGCACCATGTTCTCAAAGCGAGGCAGACGGGTATCTTGCTCGCAGTCAGGAGGGGGTTCTGGAGATGGAGGGGTGATTCTTGCCCTTTTGGCTGCCGCCAGTGTTTTTATTTCCCCCTTACTTATTAGGGGGTATGTTGTTACTATATGTGTCCTTAGATGAATGTCTGTGTTGTCATCATCAGTTTCATTATTCTGCTCTGTCAGAGACATTATATGTCCTGTGCTCAACTATTTACCTGTGCTAGCTCTGCTACAGATGCTCTTTCTTGTGCTGGAGGTTGATTTACAATCTAAAAAGTATTGAAGATAAATTCAGTGAAATGTATATTGCCAAAGAACGAAAAGAACAGAAAAATGGAACGAGCATTTTTTCCAGTTTGTGTGATCCAAAATATTTAGAATTTGTGTGCTCTAAAAATTACTAAAATCAGAAGAGCCTTCTAAAGCATCACTCCAGTAGCATGTTTGTATTTCACAGCAAACAGCTGGGGTCAATGTGACCTGAAAATGATCAGAATCCCATGACATTTGATACCTAAGGGCAATAAAAGTATAAAAAGGTAATCAAAAGAATAGGCAAACATGCATTCCCGGCTGAAGCCCATGGGACAACAGTTGGCTATTCCTGCAGGGCCAGCCCTTACATTAGGCACGCTGAGACAACCCCATGTGGCGGGGGTGGGGGCGGCGGCAATCTATTTTGCTAACCCTGTATTCCTATTTTATAGAAGAAATATAAACAATACACGAAAGTGACAGCAGTACTTTTCCGTTCCTTCTGTCAATCCACCCCCTACATACACCCCATCACCTTACAATGTGCTCCACTGGTGAATTTTGCTCAGCATCTTTCATCTGACGCTCATTATCTAGCAGCAGGCTGTGAACTGGTTGCAATTCCTGTCTTGCTGCATCCATTACTTGAACGGGAACATAATCAGCAAGCTTCTGCACACAGTTATTGCAGTTCTCCTCTGCCTGTGTTTTGGAGTCTCCAATAAACTGAACACGAAACATACGGTGTTTGCTCTACAAAGAGAAAATGAAACTAACTTTCCAGCTCCTTAATTTAATTCATGCTGCCTGCCTGTTCTAGGTGTTTAAAGATGTAGTGCTAAAACCATCAACCTAGGTATATACATACCTCTACAGTTGTGATATATTACCATCATTTTCTAATGAAAACTAAGGAGTAGCTAGCAATAGCTTGCACATCTAATACTTGCTTTTTCTGACCAATAGCTCATTTTTTTTTATGAAAAGCTTTTCTTTTAGATCTTACTGAATTGGTGCACAAGTGACAACACAACTCACAATGGCCACTTACTTTAAGACCCCTGGGAGTAGTGGTTTGCTGCCTGGCACAACTGTGGCTCAGCTAGGCGCCCTCTTCCCATCCTGTGCAGTTGTTGGGGGACAAAATCCTCCTGTGGCTGCACAAGTGGATGGGAGCCTGCCTGTTTGAACAGGCCAATGATGGGCAGGCTAGTGGGTATGGCTGCATCATTCATAAAGGAGAGCTCCCAGTGCATTCGGTGGTGGGCAAGGCATTAGGTTGGATCCTGGGGGGGGGGGCAGTGTTGGGAATCCCACCCCTGCCACTAAAAATATTTAGGTACTCCAATAAAGGGGTCCAGGAGGCAGTGCCTGTCCTGATACCCAGACGGGAGCTAACTAGCCATGGCACGCCTCCTGAGTGGAAGTTCTGGATGGAATGCTCTGATCTGATGTATGTCATAAGGTGACCCTTAATCCAAGGTTGACCCAGCAAAAACAATCAATCACCAGTTGGGCTACCAAAACCTAGTTACAATGAAGTTGTGGCCTATTCAAACCCAAGACCTTGTCCTGTGTTCATTCATCTTTCACTCTTCCGGTGGTAGTTGGGTACTGGCAGCATGCACCCAGTGCCTGAGCCTACAATCCCCAACTCCCCCAAGAGCCTTTCACAAACCATTCAAATTTAACGAGGTATTGTAATTGTGCATCTCATGTGAGCCTGTGTTATTTATTAACAGGTAATGCTGCTTTTTCTTGTCTACCTTACAGCTGCATAGGCATTATCTGCTTAAATCCCAGCTAGGTCGTCCTTTTTTCAATTTGGATCAAAGCTGGTTTGAGGAAAAACACATCAAAACACAGTATTTCAAAAGAAACAACAGACTCTTGGGTGTGGAGAGACTTTTTGGCTCACATTCTGATGGGTGGGATAGTGATAAAACTTACCGCATTTATTTGAATAGAACTTAAATGTAACTTGCTTTTTCCAACCTCAGAGCTTCTTTTTCAGGTATTTATTATTTAAAAATCAGTGTTGTATTTAATGTGACTATATTAAGACCTTTATTGAAAACACTGTAGGCTGCTTCATCTGGTCATTTTTGCCATACAAATCATTACCAGTCACACAACTTTATGAAGCAAAGTATTTTGTGAATGGTGATTGTTGCAACAGTATTCACAGCTGGCACAATTCTTTAGCAAGGTCTTCAGATATATAAAAAAGAGGACTTGAATATATAAATAAATATGACACCTGAATAAGCACATCAAAATATGACATCTAAGTAAATGATTTCTTCTTGAGTGTACCAGATTGCACATAGGAACTCCAAATTGTATTTTTAATAAAATAAAATAAAATAAAACCACTTCTAATAGTTGTGATGAACTATTATAAAAAATTTCCAAAGCATGTAATCCTATTATTCCCATGTTTCTTTGGCATAAAGCTGTTTATAATCAGGCAGCAGGAAACCAAAGAGTACAGAAATTATGAAGGGTTTTTTTTCCATATAGCATCTGATAGCATTCTTCAGCAAGAAATGCAATAGTTCCAGATCTGTGTAAGCTGTCAAATTTTCTGTGGTACCGTGGATGGTAAGGAAGGAGGGACCTACCAGGCAACATACAGCACAAAACAGAAGGGTTTTCTTTAAACTGGATTTTGTGTGCACATAATCTTAAAATGGGACGCGGGTGGCGCTGTGGGTTAAAGCCTCAGTGCCTAGGGCTTGCCGATCGAAAGGTCGGCGGTTCGAATCCCCGCGGCGGGGTGCGCTCCCGTTGCTCGGTCCCAGCGCCTGCCAACCTAGCAGTTTGAAAGCACCCCCGGGTGCAAGTAGATAAATAGGGACCGCTTACTAGCGGGAAGGTAAACAGCGTTTCCGTGTGCGGCTCTGGCTCGCCAGAGCAGCGATGTCATGCTGGCCACATGACCCGGAAGTGTCTCCGGACAGCGCTGGCCCCCGGCCTCTAGAGTGAGATGGGCGCACAACCCTAGAGTCTGGCAAGACTGGCCCGTACGGGCAGGGGTACCTTTACCTTTAATCTTAAAATGCCGACAACATAGACGTGTAAGAAGCACACACATACCTGGAACTATTGAAGGTTTATTAAGTGAAAATAATTAAAGTATAGAATAACGAGGCGGAAGTAATCTAGACAACTGTGTCAGAGAACACCAAAGAGAGAGATATATAAAAACATGTTAAGAAAAGAATTTTGAAGCCTGAAACAGCATACCTTTGTTTTTGAACCAAACAAAATGCAATCTGCATTTCTAACTATCTTCAGCCATTGAGAAGCATCAATTAATGAAAAACCTTCCTGGGGGGAAAAAACATGGCTCAATTTATCTACAGAAAAAGCTCTGAAGCAGGAATACATCTTACAGTCTATTTCAAGGGTTATCTGATCCAAGTCCAGTCTAAAGATAAAGAACCATAAGAAGGAAGAGCAGGGGCCTTGAAGTTGCTCATAAACAATTAACAGTTTGACAGGTGTATTAGCATATATACAGTAATGATTAGGAATATTCTGCAGGGACGTTGGATTTTTTAAAAAGTGTATTAGAAGGGAGTTAGCAGAAAACACCCTCCTCAAAAGAAAGAAAGAAACCCAAATAGCAGAAACAAACTCCATTGTTCCATTTGGGAATTATTGTTCAATCACAGTGGTGTTGTTGTCTTTCTCAGTGGAGAAAACAGGAGCTTGCAAGGTGAGCCTGTGAGCCACTTTGCACACGTAGAAGACATCTAAATGTTAAATATTTTTATTTCTTTGGCAAACTACTGAGATCAAAGCCATCAATGAAGGATTCATTTTTAAAGGGAAAGGAAAATATTTCAAACAAGGAGTTTCCTGCACAATGTGGGGAAAGTAGGACTGCAAGTTATGTTTGACTTAAATAATTTCATATTCCTCCCCAGTTTATTCTCACCTTTATATTACATTTTGGATGGTAAGCTCTTTAGGGCAGGGACCTGTTATCGTATACTTGATAATGCACAGTGCACACTGATGGTACAATAATACTACTGACAAGCACAGCAATCACTATCATTAGCATGGGTCTGGAGATCAAAGTGCATTCAGAGCAGTCAGAGCCCTTAAATGGTTACAGCATCCTGAGGTGGGTGGCTAGGGCATTATTCTGTTTTATTTTGTATTCCAGCTCAAATTTAGTCCATCCAGATCAGGACCATGGCATTGGGGACACTTTCTGTAAATTCTATTTTACAGCTGGATCTAAATTACAAACTCTATGGCTAAAATATCCAGCCAACTTTGTTTTTTCTCCTGCACCCCCTAATCTGCTGGGCACCCTTTCTGAGTGCTTGAAAGCTTTCTCACTGTTTTGTGATACTGGGTTTGTCCTAATAAATTATTGCCCAACTGTGAACTTTTAACTGGACCATATGACTTTCTTTGCTTTTGTGCAAATTTGAAAGCATCTAGCAAAGTTCTTACACTTGCAAACCATTTAAGCAGTGCTTAGTAAAACCAATATAACATTCCTACAATGGACACTGTGAAACTGAAGGGGCACAATTACTTATGAAAATGAATACTCACCATTACTTCCTTTCCTCTGGAAATGAAGAAATGGCCGGAAATAACTATGGTAAGAACAAGGAAGCCGGATTCCTTGTTTGATTCCAAAACCTTATTTATAACGACAATGAAAAAGACAATGTGTATGAGGAATTTATCTTTTGCTTCAAAGCACCTATTTTTACAACATATACAAATTACTTAAATCTATTGGTGCCTATTATAAAAAAACATAGTAGTTTTATTCCTTTTGTGTGTAGAAGCAAGTAATGAATAAATAAATAAATGGAAAGCTTCCCTTATTTAGGTCTGACAGCCTTTCGTAAATCATGAGAGGTACTTAGAGATGAAAGTCTGGTCCAAAATCATGCTGGAAGCCTGCACTTCAATGCTAGAGATTTCACTGAATGGTGTAAGGATCAAAACTCTGAAACTAAAAACAAGTTTAAATCTAATTTAAGAACATAAAGCTTGCTGTATCAGGACCAAGGTCCACTTTCTGCATCCCAATTTCTGTGGCCAATCATATGTCTCTGGGTTAGGTCACAAATAGCATTTGATGGTAAACCTATCAAGCCCTAAGCAGTAGCACATCTAGGACCTTCAACCAATGCTATTTTTCTAGAAAAAGAGTTGCCGGAACTCACCATGAACACCTCCCTCTTTCTCTTACAATGGCAATGGCGCTCACCTGAGAGGTGCTGGAACTGAGTTCCTATGAGTTCCCCATGAAAAAAGCCCTGCCTACAATAAAAGTAGATTATAGACACTGGCAGCAGACCAGTAGGGTACAACATCGATTTCAGTCACAACGATGATCTCGCTTTCCATCAAAGCATACAGACCAAAACCCAAATCAATGCATGGAAAAGCCTTCAGCCAGTGACACTCTCACTACTCACCTAAGAATCCATTGACAAGGTTGAAGTTTTATAGGTGCAGAATTTTCTTGAACTTTCTAGATTTCTCAAAAACACATACTGCAGCTATTGTTTACTTATGTTAAGTCTCTGAGACTCAAGGTCAATGCTCAGGGGCAGACAGTATATTCTTACAAAAGTCTGGTACCTGCCCAGTGCCCCTCTCTCGGCCGAGCAGTGGCAAAAGCCCATGGAGTTCCAATCACACAACAGTCTCTGTGTCCTTTTGGAGAATGAAATACATGGAGACTACCATGCATGGGTGGCATATTTTATTGACATACAGGGTCCTCCATATAGGCTCAGCTAAATTAAGCTTACCTTCCAAGAGCCTGAGGAACTGCCTGATGTTCCAGGTATGAATGTGCCATAACGTTTCAGCATCCATTCTGCAGCGTTAAGGCAGGAAGCAGCATCCCGTGACTGTTCCGTTTCGGGAATTTGGCCTGGCAGTGGTTGCTCTACTTCAGAGCATGAAGCTGGATCACAACTGACCCACCCAATTTTGGAGAAACAATACGCAGGGTGAACAATATGGAAACAAACAAACAAAACGGGAGTGTGGGGAGGAGGGTGGAAATATGAAAAATTGTTAAAGACATATTGTTAGAAAAATCAATTAAAAATATTTTTTAAAAAACAAACAAGCAACTGACCCACCCATGGCTGTTACTGCTGCCTGTCGCCATCTTCTAGGCTACAGTCACTTGAGAGGAAACCACAAAATGGAGGAACCTACCAAAATCAACACGATCGTAAGACTTAGGCAATGGTCCAATGAAGCCTGTCCATCCTAATACTGGAGGAGCCACAGAAATGACTTTAGTCCACGTTGCTTAAAAAATCTGGGACTAGTAGACCCGGTTTGAGTTGCAGAACTCAAACTGATTAAATTTTTTTTGCATATATTCCAACAAACCCAAAGTTTGGGACATACGTTGTAATTTGCCTGTAAGGTTTCGATACCTATCCCCTCTGGATTAAAGAAATAAAAGGATTACAGAACTGAGGAAAGCTGGGAGTTTGTGGGGCCAAAACTGAAGTTTGGAACATTGGAAAATATTGATGAGAACAGGATGAAATAATACCAGGAAAAAGCAGATTTATTCACATAGTGGTGAACTTTTAAAATTCAGTGGCTGGATACATTGGTTTAAGGGGACAGCAACTAAGATTTATTTGTCAATGTTCTCAAGGAAATATGTTCTGCCTTTCTCTGGCTGTTTGCTATGAAGACAGCTGTGGGGAAATACCTTAAACCAGATGATCAGCCTTGAAATTCCTATTTTAAAATGGTCAAATGAGGAGATACATGGATTGAAAATTAAAGAGGATTTTGAATGGAAGAATTTTGGAAAAAGTGGAGTGTGCTGTTAAGAAGTAAAAGCAAAACATCTAGTGAAAGAGAACTTTTAGGTTCTACTGTACATTAGATGTCAAATCACCCTGTTTTAATCTAAGGATGAGCAAGCTAATAACTAACTGTAGATCAATTGGCACATGACAAAATTTATGTACAATATTTTGACAGCATGGATAAAACAGAAAACTATACTTGATTGATTTGCATTAAATTATGACTCAGTGCTCACTTGCCGTACTCTCCTTTTGATGCTTTCTATAAGAAAATGAAATGAAAGTATCATTTTGAAATGCGTATTAAGTCAACAAGCTACTATTACAGAACTTTATTCTGGTGTTCTCTAACACAAACAATTTATGTAACCACAGCAATCTTTAAAATTCTCCTAAAACCTTCTCAAATGTTTTTCTTGTTAAGGGTCACATGTCATTTTTGTTTAGCCAACTTGTTATAATTTTGAGAGACTTCAAGTACAAACAAGGAGGTAATAAAAGTTATTGCTGTCCATGTAAGCCACCACCACCCAGAAAGTCACTTCTCTCTCCTCCCCCTACCCTATTTTGTTCAAAAGTCTGCCATGGCAGAAATTCTGTGCAAGGTACTACCAAACTCTGTGAAGACCCTTTGCGATATTCAAATTGTAGATCAAGGCTCAAATTCAGTTTGAAGAAAGGAGCACAATGGCAGCGTGCCCAAATACCTACAGCAGGTCTTCAGTGCAACTGTATGTTTGAATGACTGCTTCACATGTGCAACTGCATTGCCTCATGGGGGGAGGGGGGGTTCATTTTTTGACTATTATTTACAAACACACACCACAATTCTATTGTCAGATCAAAGTTGTACGCTGCCTTCTTAGTCCAAAAATAGGCTTCTCACTGGGTTTAGAAAACAATAATGGCAAACAGATTAACAACAGAAATCATAATTCTGGAAGAGCTGCCTCATAGAAAGAAAAAAGCAGTCAGGAGCTGAGGCACTTGGTTAGGCCTTTGGGGGGAGGGGGACTCTTAGAAAATATGCCTCCAAATTAAAAATCCCAGCGATTTGGATCCCTACCCTAGCCGTTTCCCATATTTTGTCTCACAGGCTTGAACTAACATCCATTCACAGAACCTAAGCAATTTCCTCAGCCGAGGAGGCCTAAGAGATGAGGGCCTGCATCCAGTCAAAAAGCCTGCTGAAAATATGAACAGTGGCTTGACAAGACAGGCTCTTGAAGGAGCAAATAGAAGTCACCTCAAAAGGCAACCCCTCTATTCTGTCTGAGGGTTAGATATTGTTGAGAACTCAGAAGGGATGGTGTCAAGATAGTGATTTTTAAGATTTTCCACAACAAACGTTTGAAAAAGCAGGCTGGAATCCTTTGTATTTGCTCGCTTCTTATAGTGCTTATCTTCCCCAACTGTTTCATTCTTGTCCTTAACAAGAATGCCTTTCAAATATTTCTTCAGTCTTGTAAATTTTTGGTTTGTCTGTAGTAAATGTAGGGGTGTAGTATCATGGGAAAAGTTATGGTGTTTCCAGATAGGGCCTTAATATTGCATAAAGCGTCGTTGAGGCATCACAAATACGATACAAATACGAAATCTAGAAGGAATTGTTAACCATTTTTAAAGAAGGGCAATTTGACCTTTGTTATAAAGAATTAATTTCTTGTAAAAGCAGCACTCCTGCTAGTGGCATGAATTGGAAAGGACTGGAAACAGCAGGTAGAAAAACTGGGATGGACTGTCCTGAGTCGTAAGGAGGGAGGAAATATGGTTAGTGTTTAGGATGTGGGATATGGGTTTATGATTTAGTGTCCCCCAGTCATGTAGCTGGGGGGGGGGGCGCATTGGGTGGCATTTACATTGGGGGAACATGCTGGAGCCCAAAGTGATGCCCAAGTCCAGGGCGCCCCAGAGCACGGCAAGCCACTCCCCAAAGCAGTGCAATTGGGGCTGTGCTTGCAGGGCACTGAGCTGCTGAGGGTGGCCGAGAAGGATGCAACTGGGACGTGCTGGCCCCGTAGCACATCTGAGCCATGGTGTCTCTCCTGGGAGTGATGCACTGGCTCAGACACCTGCAAGTACCGTATGGCCAGAAAAAGTAGCATGGGGCTGGCCCTGCAGGCGCCACGCTGCTCAAACTGCTCGCTATGCTCAGGCACTTTGATTTCAGTAGTGTGCCCTGCCCTACAGGTGGCTTGCCTTGCTCCCTAGCGGCTAGCTATGCCGCTGATGTCCCCAGAAATTACTAGGTTTTGCTTCTTCTGTTATCTTTACTTCCCCTCTTCCCACCACTGCTTTTGAAGCTTCCCTATCTGTGCCCCAATCCTATGCATGTTTACTCAGAAGTGTGTCCCATTGCAATTAATAATAATATTCAGGGAGGATATGTATAGAGGATTTGCCAACTCAGTTGGGGGTAAGGGCTCACCTACTAGTTTTCTGCTATGTACTCATTTGTGTTAGCCTTTAGCATTCCTCCCAAGGAGTTCAGGGTTCTCCCCCTCTTCAACTTACCCTCCCAACCATCAGGTATATAAGTTGAGAGCCAGCTAGCAAGGGGATTCTGCAAGCTGGTGGGAGCCCAAAGTCTGAAGATATCATGGGAGCACCCGTACAAATTCAAATATATCACCATAATTAGAGTAGGTGTATTACACAAAATATGCACTTTTTTTGGCCTCCACTAGTGCACGGTTTCAGGACCAGGATTGCATGGTTTGTGCATCGAGTAGACAAAATTGCAGGAGTAATGTAATGGATGGTCACAAGAATAACCACGCAGTGAGACTGACATGCATGAAGACATTGTATATTTGGATGACACAATGAACAGCATAAGCAACCTGTCAACATACGTATATGCACTTTTGCAACCTGAGAAAATCTTTAATAAAAACTTATTTTTTCAAAATAGCAATCCTTTTGAAGAATAAAAAAGCTCTTTGACGAGTACCATAACTACCCAAGATGTTAGACATGGTGGAAATTATTGAGTTATCATGAGAAAGTGATTGGTTGTTTCACGTGACATGCTCCATCCAAGGAATGACAGACTAGTATTGTCAAGGACTGGACAGAGGAGGAATGGTGGAGACCACCTCCCCAGCTTGAACCTTCCAGAGAAGAGGAAGACAGGTTTTATTCTGTTTAACCAGTTTTTCCTTGTGCCTCCTGATCTTGCTATGCTTGCTGTATTTGGTGCCAGGAAGGTATTGCTTGTAGACAAATTGGCCAGTCTAGAGGTTTTGCCTTCCCTATAGCAAAATATCACAACTTTTGGCCGTTAAGACACTGGGTGGAATCCTAGTCTTCAAGCTTTGGGTGAAGAGGGTTTATCTGCTTAAAATAATTATAAGTAGCAGGTTTCTGTGGCAAAAAAGCAATTAACAAATTCAATAAATAAAGTAATAGCCCTGTTCAGTTATGTATTCTGGGAAATTGTCAGGGAAAGGCATTGTGGCAACGTGCTCAGTGAAGCCATTTTGAGAGTTAAAATGTTAAGCAAGGAAGCCATTTTGTTGATCTAGGCCAGGCCCCCATATCCAGTAAATACACCTACCCAGACACACACAGAGATAGACTGATAAGGATAAACAAACAAGGACATGGAAGGGTAATGTCTTACTCCTCATGCCCTGTCTCTAGGCAGAACCTATTGTATCTATCAGAGTATGTGTAATGCTGTAACTTTTGATTGGATAAAGACCTGATTCAAGAATGTATAAAGGGAAGCCTCCCCTGTTGGGGAGGGCCGGACTTCGGAACTTATTCCTCCGTGCCATTGCTTGCTGCCGGCAAACAAAAACTTTCTTGCTTTATTTCTGTTTCTGCGTGGTCATTTGACTGGCCTGACTGTTTGCTACACACTAACTTTTGATATGCCATCTAATAGGACTGTTGATCTGAAAGGTGCCAAAACTATCACCATGAAAACCTCCGGACATGAGAAAACCCACTACACAGCTGTGTTGTCTTGCTGTGCAGATGGCACCAAATTGCCACCCATGCTAATTTTCAAAAGGAAAACATTTCCAAAAGAAGTGATTCCAAGAGGAGTTGTACATGTTCATGAGAAAGGATGGGTGGATGAAAATGGAATGAGAGTATGGGTTGAAAAAGTGGTCCAAACGTCCTGGAGGGCTTCTGAAAAAACCTGCCTTATTAGTACTTGAACAGTTTAGAGCACATATTAGCGAAACTACAAAAAAGTGCTTTAAAGAAGTGAAGACTCACCAAGCTGTAATTCCTGGAGGTCTTACCAACCAGTTTCAACCTCTCAACATATCAACAAGCCATTTAAGTTCTTTATGCGAGAAGAGCGGAACAAATGGATGGCTGCTGGTAATCATGATCTGACACCTACTGGACATTACACTATCACTCAAGTTTGTGAATGTGTGAAAACATCATGGTACTCGGTGAAGGAGGAAGTCATTGTCCAGTCATTCAAAAAATGTGGCATTAGCAATGCTTTGGATGGAAACGAAGATGGTATCTTATATGAAGATAGCGAAGGAAGTGATGTCAGTGATTGTGAGCAACTGAGCTTCATAAATTCTGACTCTAGCAATGATGAGTTCTTGGGGTTCACAGAGGACCAGAAGAGTACTCGAACCTTAAAGTCGCTCTTCATTTGTTCATGACAGCGATGATGGTTCTTAATGCCACTGGTTGAAATATTATTCTGATATACCAGTAGTTTATTAAATAATTTAGTACAACATTTGATTCAGAATATTTTTTTTCTTGTTTTCCTCCTCTAAAAACTAGGTACATCTTATGGAGCAAAAAATACGGTATGCTAAAAGAATGAAAAGGAAGTGTCCACATTGGCTGAAAGCGTCCTGAAGAAGTTTACTCAAGCCTGAGAACTGGGGAAAGGATCTGGAGTGGAAGCATTCTTGGTTCCCCCATTCCCTGTAGTGAGATGGGCCTCTTGATAAATTCTAGATTGCACGTGTAAAAGGCAGTATAAGATACAGAGACCACTAAATTTAAGACTGCCTCATAAAATAAGGGGCTCCAGTGCCTCCCTCTATTCCACAAGGCCTTCCCCATCATGTGTGTTTGCTCTTAGTGTGTACATACTTCCAGATAAAGTTCAGTAGAAATGCCATTTCCTTCTTGCAGTTGAGCCTTGTTAAGTCATATATTTGTCACATCTAGTTTCCAATTGCTTTTTATCTGGAATACTAACTTTCATTGGCATAGGTATTTGAGTTGGTTTTGTCATGATGCTTTTACTCTTGGACTCTTCTCATGCGCTTATGTTCATTCCCCCACCCCTTGCTAATAAGATGCTGACCTTTGCCAGACATTCCTCTTTGATTTATAGAGCTTCAATCTTCCCATTCCCAAGAGCAATTTTTCTCCTTTTTACTAAATTATTTAATCTTATTTAAATGATCTTACTAGATTTTGGCTGAAGAACCCTATTTTCCCTAATGGAGGGAAGTGAGCTTGAGAGCATTGTGTTTCTTTCCCTTGTTATAAACCTTGTCCAGATTGAGAAATTCTCATCACAAGGGTATTTGGAATGATTGGGGAGAAGTGGGACTGCTCAGTGATTGGCACAACCCTATTTTGCTTCAATACATCTGGCTCATCTCAATCTTATTATTATTCAGAATAAAATCTCTGTATTTTTCTCATCAACTTTGTTTCTGCAATAATGAAGTTTGAAAGGAAGTGAAAGTCCCAAGCCCATTGTCTTTAAGATAGGAAGCTGCCTTGTAACAAGCCAGAACAAGGAGCAGTGTGGTGGGACAGTACATCTGGCCTGTGTGCATGGGGATATAGTCTGGGCACGGATATAAGAAGCATCTACTGGATCAGGCCAATGGGCCATCTAACCCAACACCCATCACTTGTAGAAAACGTGCAGGCAGGACCAAGCAGAAGAGTGATCTCCCCTCCTGAGGTTTCCCGCAACTGGTAAAAAAATCTCCATCCACTTTCTTCATGCCTTGCTTATTTAATACATCTTGTTGGCTCTTTTTTATACGTACACTCCAGGAAAAAATATTTAAGACTAGGCAAGACATGCATTAACGAGAAAGCAGCAAAACAGTTTGTGCATTTCATTCTTTGTGTGCCTCCTTCCACAACAGGTCCGTGGGTGACAGCATGAAACGGGCCATTTCTGCAATGGCTCCTGTTTGTGGAATGCTCTCCCCCAGGGAGGTTCGACTGGAGCCTTCATTATACACCTTTAGGAGCCAGGCAAAAATGTTCCTCTTTAAATAATAATAATAATAATAATAATAATAATAATAATAATAATATTGCAGAAAGTCTGTGTCTAAGTCAAGGACAAACTGAGTAAAGCAAATTTCTTTGAGTGAATATGAAAGAGGATTCTCTCAGGTAAATCTTATACTAACTTTCATCGTCTCTGCTTATAAGGACAATTTATTCATGGATGTTCATCAGGGTGGTAGGACCCCATTTTACTCAGTTCAACCCTACCCAATATGTGGAATCATGGTCGCTACATGAACGACATTCTGCAGTTGATACAAAAAGCAGGAAGCTATCTAAAGACGAAGTACATTGCAGGATATGTTTAAAATGTGACACTTACTGCAAGAACTTCATGGTAATGATACCTTTTTTTCTTACAAAAAAGCACTATTAGGGTGGTTACCCTCAGAGGTGGATGGATCCAATGGGTTTCCAAACAGTTCTGGGGGATTTTCTGGCTGATATATCTGGTGCTCCTGTCTAAGATGTGGCTGACCTCTGGGACATCCAAATGACTCAGGTTGTTGAGCACAATCTCCCACTTTATGGAGCCCGTTAGGCTCCTTGGTATACTCCTGACCTTTAGGCAAAGAAACAAGCTGGGAGATAGCTTGAATACAAGCAGATGAAAATCCATTCAAATACAATCAAACACGGGTGAGGGCTCATCACTTAATCTATCTTGTGGCAGTGCAGTGAAGTCAGCAAAGACTGTGTTGACTTGCTTCAAGAATCCAAGTCTAATAAGCAACACTACTAGTGTTATTTCTCTATGAAATGGTATTTGGATATAATAATGTAGGAACAATATGTAACTAGAAACAGCTCAGAAATTACAGAAAAGCATCTCATAATATTGAGGGAACATGGTAGACAAGAACTTCTAGGTAAGCACTGCCATCTTGTGGGTAATTCAAAGGGGAAGCTACCAAAAAATCATACTAATTGAAATGGCAAATATTTTTGGATAAATCACTTTGTGACTGTGTTTGATTAATGACTTAACTGTAATAATATTAATGACTTAACTGTAATACTAATTCAGCTAATTCTGCAGTTACTATTCTTTCTATTCACTATGTAGAGGAAAAAATCCTTCAGGAAAAAATACAGAATTTCCCCCGCTTCACAGTATGTTCTCAATCTTCCACCAGGACCATTGAGATAAAGCAGAAAACAAACAGACTCCTTGTGATTTCTATATCAATTAAAGGTAAAGGGTAAAGGGACCCCTGACCATTAGGTCCAGTCGTGACCGACTCTGGGGTTGCGGCGCTCATCTCGCTTTATTGGCCAAGGGAGCCAGTGTACAGCTTCCAGGTCATGTGGCCAGCATGACTAAGTCGCTTCTGGCAAACCAGAGCAGCACACGGAAACACCGTTTACCTTCCCACCGTAGCGGTACCTATTTATCTACTTGCACTTTGACGTGCTTTCGAACTGCTAGGTTGGCAGGAGCAGGGACCGAGCAACGGGAGCTCACCCCGTCGCGGGGATTCGAACCGCCGACCTTCTGATCGGCAGTGGTTTAACCCACAGCGCCACCCACATCCCATCTATATTGATTAGTGTGGTCTAAATGCCCATGACCATTAAAAGTTTATTTTCTTCAATATATTTAAAGACAACTGCCCAAACTGTCAATGGGCAGCCATGTTAGATACCCTTACAGCAAACAATGAGCCTCATAGTACCTTACAGACTCGATTTCTTTTATCAAAGGTGGACTTTTTGTTGATTGAAGCCCACATCATCATATCCTGTTATTAGATATACACTTAAGTCCCGAAGAAAATAAACTGTGGCACCAAACAACCTTGATATAAAAGGCTATTACCATTTGTTTACTGGGGCGTGAAAAGGATAGATCACAATTCTTGCACTGAATACTAAGCAATGCATTATTGTTGTTAAATGGCAAGAACTCTCTTCCCAGAGTATTAGTTATGCCTTCCAAATGCACCCAATATGCACTCTTACTTGAAGAATGTAAAACCCCTTGGTGGACTACAAATACTCTTAATATTTTTATCTAGAAATCTATTAAACACAACTCTGGAACCCATTGAAGAGCTTTAAAAAAATATTTTAAATAAACATTCTGCTACTCCACACGAGGCTCTCAAGCCTAGTTTCCTTTTTATTCTATGTTACTGCATTTTGAACATATAGAGAAGTATCACCTGTTTTCATTTTATATTTTTAATCAATCTACTCAGTATTCCTGGGGCATTTTTAATTCCTGAGATTTTAGGGGCTGTGGCTGAATACCTGCCTTACTATGGCAACCCAGTCAGATGGGTGTGGTACAAATTTGTTGTTGTTGTTGCTAATGCAGTGTTTCCCAAACTTAAAATAACCATATGCTCCTTTTGAAAGTTTAGACTTAATGGTGTACCTCTTCTTGGAAGGTTAATTGGAAGGTTATCCAGCCTAAATTCTGCCATATATCCTTTTGAAACCCTTTCGTGTACCCCTGTAGGTACAGCATTTCCCCCCAAAAGACATCATGAAGCCCCAAAATACTTCAGCATTCTTACAACCTCTAAATAAAAAGTGGCAAATAATATAATTGTTGTTAATAATAAAAAGCTGACCTTTATGTTTATTAGTTACCCACCCTTAACGATAAGGTCCCAGGTGGGATCCAACGACAAAAAAAGACCCCATGTTGCAAATGATTTAACACAGAAAAATAAACTGGGCTCCTAAAATACACATCTCCAGTAGCAAAAGCAAGGATAAAGAGGTGCGCTGAAGATGCAGGATTGAGACCCACCTCGCTCCTAGAACAATGCCTAGTTCATAAAGTAGGCTTTTTAAAAATCGTAAAATATATTAAGGGAATTTAATTGAAATCTAAAAAGGGGAAGCGGCAATCACACTGCACAGAAGTTTACATTAATTTTCTTTGCTAATAAGCCTCATCGTACAGGATTTTCTTTTTTTGCCACGTGCTCCAGCGCTCTGACTTTTAAAGCTGAAACGCCTGCATGTTTCAAGTAAGGTTTTAGTTTGCACCAACCCCTTCCCTAGAGAGAGAAAAATACACCCCAAACAATAAAAACCTCTCCTTATGAGAAACCAGAATGGATCCCCGCTTCTCCCCGTTATTAACAAAAACCCACGGAGCTCCCTAATCAACCACCATGAAGGGACGTCGGGGCGGAAACGCTCAAAAATTTCACGCATGCGCGTTTCCATAGGCTAGAGGCACCAGAACGCTTTACGGCACACGGGCGTCGGGGATAACGACGCTTGCATTGCTGTTGGCCCCACCCCCTTTCCTGCTGCGCACGCGCAACGGGGGTGCGCCCTCTGTTGCCTTGTACTCTCGCGCGACGCGAAGGAGGCGGAACTGGATTTTGAATCAGGTGGCGGGAAGATCGTCCGGAGTCCGAGCTCAACCCCCGTCGCCTCGTCCTCTTCGAATGGCGAAGCAGCAGAGCCGGGAGCAGGGCATCACCTTGCGGGGCAGCGCCGAGATCGTCGCCGAGTTTTTCTGTGAGTTAGCCGGGAAAGGAGAGAGGAGGGACTCGGTTGAGCGGGCTGCTCCTAGGGGAACCGCTTACTCTGGAGTAAGCCCCGCTGAATCCAAGGGGCTTTACTTCCGAGTAGGGACGCCTGCTTAGGATCGGGAGGAGGGGATGCTGCTGCGAGGGAATGATGGCGCCCGAGCTGGAGGGGAAGGAGCGGGACGCAGCATAGGCCAGCCATCCTTTCTTCTCTTTTCTTTTACTTTCCCCCACGTTGATTTATTTGCTTTACACAAACATCCTGTCGCTGAGGGTATAGCGCCCCACAGCGTGCCAGCAAAAGTTTGCAATATAAAAGAGAGAGAAAACCCTTAACGGCTATGCGTGGAGTAGCTTTCCAAGGTAAGGAGCTCCAGGCTGCAATCCTGCACTTGTTTGCCCGGGAGTAAGCGCCCTTGAAAAGAACGTGCTTCTGAGCAGGCACCTGTAGTATTGCGCCGTCAACCTCCTTGGTTGTGTAGTTCACAGAAGCTTATAGCTGTAATAAATATAAGGTACCACAAGACTTTGTTGTTTTAGATGTTGATAGTCACACACATGTCTGTAGCACCGCGCTGGTGAGTTTTCCCAGCTTTGTGGACTGGATTGCACTGCCTGTTCTCCTTAGAGTCCTTATCTGCTTTCATTTTAAACTTTATATCGGAAAAAGGGTAACTCTTTAAAATAAGCATGCTTATTCCAATTTGTCCACTCTTGGGCCAGTTATGAGCATTTGTGGTTTGGCTTAAGCTTCCCTTCAAGTTAGTATCCATCAGCCATAAGCCCTTGTAGACATTGATTTACAAACGCTTGCCATATTACTTCATCTAATTGAAGTATTGTGGGAGAGCAGCATTACCTGTTTCGCATTTTGCATAAGTCCACCTGATATCATTTAATCAAGTATTCTATGAGCTGTGCAATTTCAGTTCTAGGTGTTAGGAAAAATTATGATACAGATAGCAAACACAAAGTTGGAGGTGTACAAATAACCTTCAACACAAACTTAGGTCTAAAGATGATTGCTTTCATTAAAAAATAAACAATGTGAAGTTACGTTTTAAAGGTAACAATGTAAGATTTTTGGCAAGTGTAGCTTTAACCTACCCACTGTAGCATTAAATTAGAAGTTGTCCTGACCAAAATAAAAGCACATGTGCAGTTATTAGAGTCCTTATCTGCTTTCATTTTAAACTATGTCGAAAAAAGGGTGACTCTTTAAAATAAGCATGCTATGTGTGTTACTGGTTTGTAGCCAGAATAAAATAATAGACTGCTAATTCCAATTTTGTCGGCCAATAGCTTTGGCACCTGGCATGAACTCTGCCCCTTGAGCCATTATCTCTGCCCTGCAGAGAAGATTGCCACTTATAAAAACAGGCACATGCTATGCTTTCTGCTGGAAGCAACTGAAGGAATTTAAAAGTAAGGTGATGGTCCTTGTATTGTTAACACTTGAATATTTTTTCCCTTCTAGCATATGGTATCAACAGTATCTTATACCAGCGTGGGATCTATCCTGCTGAAACATTTACACGTGTTCAGAAATATGGACTTACTATGCTTGTAACTGCAGACTCTGAACTTAAAAATTATCTGAACAATGTGGTGGGACAGCTAAAAGGTATTTTTTATTATTTCCTGACAGTTTTCTTATTACTGCATAGAGATTAAGAAAACAACACAGTCCCTGTCCTCAGATTTACAATAATTTAAAATGACCCTAGTAGCTCAACAAATTGGCCAAAACGTAGTTTTAAAACTTTCAGCAGTTTCCCTTAAAGAAAATATTGTTGTCAAAATTGCACAAAGTAGATGAATACAAGATCTTTCTTTGGATGACAGTGCCTATGTGCTCTCAGCAAAATCTTATGCCACCTCTTGTTTCTTTTCTATTCAATCACTTAAAGGGCAGACATCAGAAAAGCAGGATTACTAACTACAGAAGAAAAATGTATTGTCTGCCTGCCTAAAAACCATCAAATATAGGTTCAGTTAGACTTACGTAGGAGAGGGTTCCACAACTGGGGTCCTGCCAGTGAAAAAACCTGTGTTAGCTTTTACGGCCAAACATTCCCTCCTTGGTTGTGGAGCTCAGAACAGGCCTTCTGGTGGTTCATTTATTAAATTTATATTCCTTCCAAAGGAACCCAGGGTGACTGATTACTACAACTGAGGTCCTGGTTCATATGGGAGCAGGAGGCCCTGCAGATACCCTGCCCTCAAACCAGGACTTTATAGGTAATAGCCAGCACCTTGAATTAGACCTATAAACAAACTGGAAGCAGTGCTGATGGAATCTCAATAAGACTGGTAACATTATCTGAATAGTGAGCACCAGAAAGCATTCTGGCCACCAAATTTTGCACTGATTGTAGTTTCTAAATGCTCTTATAAGGGCAGCTCCTTTCAGTAATCTAACCTGGATGCAGCAATTGGCCAGATTTGTGTTCTTTAGGAAGGGACATAATTGGAGAATCAGTTGAAGCTGAGCAGATACTTCCTTTTTAAAGAAATGGAAAAGTAGATAAACTCATCTTTATTGGGCTTTTGCATCAGTGAAGTGCTGTTTCTGCAGTCTCCAGAAGATAGTACAAAGGTAAACACTCCTTTATTCTTAGAGTCCTTTTTCATGATGGGAGCAGTTAGCAGCAACCTCAATAATGGGTGTTGGTAATACATTTGTATTACCTTTGTAATTTGTATATACCTTGCATATATGTTCCAGAACTCTGAAATCACTACTGCTAGATGGGAGCAACTGGTAAAGCCTGAAGCCATATAAGGAGATAAGTTTGTGTGGCAAAACATACTGTGGACTCCCAAGCAATTTAGAAAAACAGGTCCACTACCAAGAATACAGAAGTTGGCCATTCCTCGTGTATAAAATTAAGTCACCTCATTTATGTCCAGTCAAACCTCAGTTGTTGAACGTAATCTGTTCCGGAAGACCTTTCGACTTCCAAAACATTTGACAACCAAGGATCAAAGGGCAAAGTCAATGGAGAAAACCGGAGCAGTTACTTCTGGGTTTTTGGGAGCCAAGGATTGACTATATAGGAATACTGTTTGAAATTTTTATTTAGTTGAAGTTCTGGCATAATTCTTGCACATCAGGCTTCCTACATCAAGTGTACCATGTGTATCCTATAAACTTCAGGTTGCCTGTATGGGTAATAGTTTGCAGAAAGACAGTAGTAGTGTTTATTTCAGGTGGTTTAAAATGTTTTAAGGGTGTGTAACATGGGACTTCTGGGAAGCTATTTTTCGTCTTGGTTTTTTCCCCAGAATGGCTCTATGAATGCCTAGTTCAGCGGCTAGTAGTGGTGATCTCCAGTAAAGAAACCAGTGAAGTTCTGGAAAGGTGGCAGTTTGACATTGAATGTGACAAAGCTGCAAAGGATGAAAGGTAAGTGCATTCAAACACCATTGTATCAAACAACGCAAAATGTAGGCATTTATTCAGCTTTGTATTCAAAATGTGCTCTTCCCTCACCCCAGGTCCAAAAAAGCATATGGTAAATTGTGGTGACAACTTGTCTTGTAGAGATGGATGATATGGATATGCTTGTGGATATAGAGATATGTAGCTGCCTCCTTCAAAATGGGGACTTCCAAAGGGGGAGACATGGCTTGCAAATGAGTAAAGCAAGGGTTTTCGTTGCAAAGTGGTCAGCTACTGCATTCTAAGGCCTGGGGTGTCAGCAGCAAATGCACACAAGTAGAATGCTATAGATGTAGGCCAGGAGTGGGTAAAAAAAGATTTGACGGGCAGACCAGCTCCTGACCTCCGCCACCCTACGCCACCCTCATGGACCATTCTGACAGATGGGTATGTCCTGTCAATTGCATGACATCAAGTGACCCAAAGTAAGCTTTTTCCCTTTCATCACTGCTCTGAATTCACCAAGCCACAATTTATAGTCAGGTATTGGCTGCGCTTGGAGTACAGTGGTGCCTCGCAAGACGAAAAGAATCCGTTCCGCGATTCTCTTCGTCTAGCGGTTTTTCGTCTTGCGAAGCAACCCCATTGGCGGTTAAGCGGATTAGCGCTATTGGCGATTTAGCGCCATTAG